TTTTTTGCTGATATCCGATGACAGAATTTGCCAAGAAACTGTGGCGGGTGACGTGGATTGTGGTGATGCTGTTCTCGTGTAGACTTTTGATGAAGAAATGAACTGGAAAGTCGTTGTTTTGGCTCAGAACGTAAAGTAAGTGTTGATTTGACACTTCAACTGCCATCTCGCATGCACGAAGAGCAGGCGAAACCTAGAGTCCCTTTATACCCAGAGTTAAGACAACTCACTTTTGGTTGGGCTGAAAGTGGCCTAAAAAAAAATCCAATTCTGATTGGTTCTCGCTCATGGAGGCCGAAACGAGTGCACCAAGATGGCGGTACCTCGAATGTGAACAAGAATAATGAAAATATTACCTAATTGTGGTTTATCAAGAGTAAATTGTTATTTCCATCGGTCCAAAATGAAAATAGATTAAGAAATTATTCACAAACCAATCTCATTTTCTTTTTAATTGATCAATTTGTTGATGTTGTTGTTTTTGTGTGACAGACATCGCAGGATTCCTGATCCTTATCCCTCAATATCGTTCGTTTGGGTGCACTCGTTTCGGCCTCCATGGCCAGCCAAGGCCGGCTGCCAGTCAGCTGATAATCGAGTTGTCTTAACTCTGGGTATAAAGGGACTCTAGCGAAACCAAGTGCTCTACCTCTACTTCCAGAGGTATTTCAAATGCTTTGTTCTTTCCAGGGACGCTGAATACGATCAACAAGAAGAGCGGTAATTTTAAGTTCACTGCAGGTGATTCCATATTTATGAAAAATTAAGTAGGTAACTTCTGGGTTCAAGTGGCCAGAGTTATGTTTAACTATGAAACTGTTTATAACTGTTGTTTTTGTACGTCAGACTTGGACGTATTACGCGTTTCGCCTCATTCGACTTTTCTTCTCTTGCGTTAAAGTCTTAAAGCTAGTCGAAAAGAGATACTCCTTCACTTTATGGATTCGCGATTCAACGTATTTGGATGTATCTCGTTTCACACGCCATTCAATTTTTCTACTCTTGCGTTAAAGTCTCGGTGTACCCCGAAAAGACGTCCTCCTTCACTTTGTAGGTACGCAATTTTACCTACTTCGAAGTCGAAATAATTGCATCACGCGCTCTGTCCTGGCAACTTTTCAACTCAGCGTTAAAATCTCAGAATCTCTGTCAGTTGAAGAGATCGAGCCTTTTTCATTGTTGTAGATGTGCAAAAAAGTTTACTTCTCTGTTCAGATTTCTAGGGAAGAAAGTGAAAAGGTTGGAATACAAATTGATTCTCAAGGATAAAAACACCGGCAAAGTCGCTAACTCAGTCTGATAAATTCACATGCTCATGGTGAATCGCTTTTATCCTATAGTAACCCACTGTTTTTGATCTTTTATCATGGTCTCGTTCCACGCTATTGCGTTTTTTATTACAGATTATTTCATTCTTTAAAATACTCATTTTCTGTTTATCCACAACCTCTTAAAATTTTCTCCTTGGGTGAATTCTTTTAACCTTAGTAACCCACTGTTTTTGATTTTTGATTATCATCTCTTCGAGGGTATTGCGTTTTTTATTACAGATTTGTTCCTTTAAAATACTCACTTTCTGTTAGTCACAACCACTGAAAATTTGCTCCGGGCGTCACTTGTGAATGTTGAAACTGGCGATAAACTTTTAAAATTGTAGTTGAGTATTTATCAAAACAATAGAACTAAGCGTATGTAACTACACGGTTTCTGTACAGGAATGTGGCATTTTGAAAGGGTGACACTGCAGTTGACTCACATGAAATGAGTAAAAAAACACGTAGAAGTACAAAAATAGTTCCAAAAACAGCACTGAATTGCTTGCTATTGATTTTTAGATTTTGTTTTCGCAATATCAGGTTCTCCAAAGTTTATAGGTTTGTTTTTCAATCCCAGAAGTGATATTTTCATTCGTTCACTATTTATTATTGATTCTCAGGGGAACTCACTCAATTGCGAAGAGAGCAGTAAGTGCATTTGTGTATGAGCCATGTTTAGCGCATGTTTTTATTTGTCTTGAGGTTCATCGCAGTATGCACTCACTGCTCTCTTCCCTATTACGGCATATATTTGCTGTCTATTATTTACCATCCTCCACGCGTGACAGCGTTGTCAAATAGTACAGTTAGCGAGCCCGTCATCCGCAAAAACGAGCAACTACGTCCCGTCGTGATCTCGATGTTTGCAGGTTGGCACGTTTTTTTATTTAAAAATTCCTTGACTCTTCAGATATTTTGAACATAGCCGCTCCGACGTATCCCTGGTCTTCCAGTGGTTTTTTGGCATGGTTTCTGGTAGAAATCCTACTAACCAAAAATTTTCAGGCAAAAATTGTGGAAATTTAATCGGTTGTGAAATGCGAGATTGACATCAGCAACATCTTCTAGAAATTGTTCGAGGCAGATGACGCGCGAAAATCTGCACAATTTTGCAACGTTACCCTGCAATGGTGGTACACGACTCATGCTCATTTTGAGGAAATAATGGTAAACACTATTATAAATGCAACGTAGAAAACCCTCGAGGACTAACAACTGCAGCCATACGTTGCGTTGTGTTACAGCAAGCCAGAGCGCCTGCAATCTTTGTGTATGCAACACGGACAACCATAGAACACGAATAATTGTATCCAGACCGATTATCCATTTGCAATTTCCAATTTACGATTTTTTTCCGATTTTACATTTTTTCCGATTGGGAGAAGAAAATGTGTTCATCTATCGTCGCCGCACGGAAATAGGGCACTTTGTTCATTTGTTCAAGTTGTACACAAAAAAAAGTGAAAAAAGTGAAAAAAAGGTAAATAGCTAATAGCGGATCGATGTTTGAAAATGTGTTTTGTGCCCTTTTGTGTCGTTTGAGACTGTAATCCTTTAACATCTCTTCATTGTCTTTTGGACTAAATAAAACAAAACGGACCCATGTCACATTTTGGAATAAAATGAATTAAGAGTAGTTTTAAGCTTAGATGCACATGAATCATCATTAATAACGAAATCACACCAACTAGGAAAAATGAAAACAATCAAGACACACGGAAAATTGCACAGTATGTGAAAAAAGTTAGTCCCAGAAAAAGATTTTTGCTACCGAGAGTCAAATACTTTTGGACACTTTAAAGGTCCAAGTTGGAACAGACGCACTAACCTCAATGACCTTCGTGTAAATTATTAACTGTCTTAAATGGAAATTGAGCATTTTCGAGTAACCGAGTTGGTGTGTTTTCGTTCTCACTGATTCATCATCATTTCCCCTCATAAAGACGGAGGAGGGGGAGAGAGAAAGCTTTTACAGTGAAAATCGGGTTTCAATGTTTTATCGTTGACATTGAGTATTATGGAAAAATGAAACTTCAAACTCTCTCTCTCGCTCCCAACTTGATGCGACCTGGCTCCTTTTTATTGAACGTTGTAGCGCTGTCCCGCGAGTCGATTGTTGAAATTGATAGACAAAGAAGACAGAAGGGACATGAAAGGATTCTATTGGAGGAAGCGGATGGCTTCAATGGGCAAAGAAAGTAAATAATAGACTAACCCACGAGAGACCCTATAGTTAGTTCATCATTTTCTCCCTTAGTCTATAGGCACCAACCTTTTCAACCAATAGGATCGCTCCATACTCTCGATGCCTTCTTTGTCTATCACTTTGTCTTTCGACTTCAACAATCAGCCCGCTGACCATTCATTATTGTTGCGATCGTTAAATGCCTTCAATGGACCACTAGACAAGGTACGAATTAAAGGATGCTGTTACATGTTTCTTAACCAAAATTTCAGGCAGAACACGATTCGCGCAACGAAAATGACTGAAACCAACTCCTAACGAAGATATTAACGCTTTTATTTCACATTGGTCACAAGGAATTTGAACTGCTCGCTCAAAAGAAACTCAAAGCTCTACGTGAGTAAAATCGCGCACTACAACGGTTTCAGCAAGCCTCTCAATCGAGCAATGTTCATTTCCCACCATGTGTTTTTCAAACTATAAGTAATTTGCTATAGCTGAGCCAAAGCATCAAGATTGAGGTTGCCAGATTTTTATATCGCAGAGACTGTCATGATAACGTTTAGCGCGCGATGTGAATCACGTAGGGCATTGAGTTTTCATGAGCGGGTGGATTGAATTCACGCATCAAGAATTATTGAATATCTTCGTAAGGAGATGATTTCGGTAATTTTCGTTGTGCGCATCGTGTTCTACATGAAATTTTGGTTAGGAAGCATGTATCAGAATGCTGAAATTTGTACCTTGTCTAGTGGTCCATTGGTCGGAGTTGCGGCTGTGGGACGTGTTGCATGTTGCATACCTCAAAAACTGAAGGGTTTATTCCTTGGTTGCACATGAAATAAAATGCTGAACTAGTAACATGACCTGAATAGGGAGATCATGCAGTGAATCTGGTACTTTTAATGGCGCCCTCCATTTTCTTTTGGTCTCTTTTAGATATCATACATGTTTAGTCAATCGTATGTTTGATTAGTTCCCCTTTTTTTTAAATTTACTTGCAACGTGTAGAAAAAAATGAAATAAAGAAACAACTGCTTAGACATTTACGTAAACTTTTATGATTAGAATAATTTAATTTGGGAGCAAAGAATCAAAATAAGCGTGTATTATCATACTTATAAAAATGATTCTCATTGTTTGCTCTTCAAATGTATCTATATATCTTACAATTTTTATAATAAATAACACAATTTACAAACAAAACAAATTTAAATTTTCCTAAGCCTAAGTATGTACATATTTACAGTTAACTTGCGCATCATCACGAAAATCCAGGCCTACAAAAGATAGTAGGCGCCTTCAGTGGCGTGGCGTGAAGGATCGATTATCGATATTTCTCCATTTGAAGCCGTAGTAAAGAATCGATTATCAAGGTGTTCGTTGCGAACACCTTGAAAATCGATCCTTTTCCATGTATGTAAATGGCAGATCAATCGATATATCGCAAAGCACGCCACGCCACTGGGCGCCTTGAAACTTCCAAATCAAAGTTTATCTTGAAATTTGCAGAAGTGAATATTTATTAAAAATCCATGGGTAAAATAGCAATATCTGAAAATCAAATATCGAAACAATTTGATGCATGAAAATAAATTAATTTCACAAATTTTATACAGTAAATTTTCAATACATAGGTACACAAAGCTCACTAAAACTTTACACACCAGTGACGTGGCGTGCGATATATCGATTGATCTGCCATTTAAACCTATGGAAAAAGATCGATCAACAGGGTGTTCGCAACGAACACCTTAATAATCGATTCTTTACCATAGCTTCAAATGGGTAAAATATCGATAATCGATTCACGCCTCGCCACTGTTACGTACAGCTCAAAAAATCACACGCAGGTACACGGAAAATATAATCTCACTAAGGTCAAACGAATCGCCCATTTTATTGCAGAATGCTCCCGTAAACGGCTGTCTAACTCCTATCAGCTCCAAGTCTGTATCGCGTCCGGTCTTGGGCGTCCTGACCAATCCTGTTCTTCGTTCTTGGAGTCGGAACACAGCTGCAAATAAGATCGTCAGAATTAGTTCGAGATCAGTAATTTTGGTGCTAGGTTATTTTTCCTAATTTTTTTTTCCCTACATCAGGTTTTCCTAATACATTTTTCCTACTCGTTTTTTGTCCCATATTACAGTAAGTCCCACGAGTGAGATGTCCCACTGGCTCTTTTGCTAAAGCTGACTGTCCCAATAATCCAATAATAATTGAAACGTAAACATGAGTAGAGCAGAGGGAAATGTTTCAGGAAGTGTAAAATTTCCTCAGTGAACCGAAGGTAAGCGCGTGAACAGGAGACAGAACAATCTGAGCCTTCTATACTTTCAATACAAGGAAGAGGATGAAGCTCCACTACCTGCGGGCATGCGGCCACAACTTTTACTCGTGAGGTACCTATGGTGTTTTTTTAAAATTGAATTCAGGACCTCACTTGTAGAACTATCTGTCATGGGACAAAAAACGAGCAGGAAAAAAGTATTAAGAAAATTTGCAGCAGGAAGCAATGTTTTAGGAAAAATGGCTTGTCTACGTAATTTTCATGTTATGATTTTCTCTTTTTCTGGAAAAGCTCAGTGATCCTCTCAGTAGGTGAATCCACGAATTTCACGACTGGAAAATTTCTGGCAGCTTTATACTTACGGTGATAAGTTCAATACCATCTCAAAGAGAGAATATCACAAGAACTTACACGATTTGTAGATGTAAACCGACAACATTTCCTCCTCAAGTTAATAAAAATAAATTTAAAAAAATGTTACCGGCACATCTCTTCAGTTTTCAATTTTATAAGACAGTGGCAAGCTTTAGGTAAATCTTCAAAACTAAATCTGAAATACGACGAATTTAAATCGAAAGGAACTACGTAACACGAGGATCCCATGCACTTAGTTCCTTTTAGCATTAAAATGTCCAATTACCGATGAAGGAAGAAAATTCTTTTACAAGAGCTCAGATTTTTCAAATTTGTCGACCCTTGTAATTTTAGTAGGTACCAGGAGTTATCAGGAGATTTAAAAAAATTAAAGAAAAAAAATTCCCGTACCTAGCTTGAGTGCAGCAATTTTTTTCTTCCATATTTTGTAAGCAAAAAAATAGAAGGATTGCAGAATGACAAAAAAAAAATGGAAAGTTTTGACGAAACATAGGAAAATAATAGGATTTTTCAGTATGAAAAATCCGTTCGAAACCGTTCTAAAATTACATTAGGGGGGCGAGCAGGGCCGGATGTAGGGGGTGGCCACATGGGCTGCGGCCCATGTCGGCAAATTTTGTCATTTCTTTATATTAAGGTATGAAAAATCGGGTTCAGAAAAAAAAATTACAGACGAGAGAAGGCAACAAAATCTCTCATTTCCTGAAAGTATAGTAATGTATAATTTTGTCGTCATTCGGTGATACAAGAGACAGCACCTTCAATAAGTCGAGTGAAGAGAGCACTTAACGTGCAGAGTTAACATGCAATTTGGCCTGGAGCGGCGCGGCGGAGAGAGCAATGATGACGAGGACTTGAGTTGTATAGGAGAAGCCCTCGGCGCGGCGCGCGGCTGTCGGCATGTAAAACATGTTAGCGCCTTCAAGAGTTCTTGAATACCTCACGCATTTAGTCAAACACAGTGCAGTCAACGCATGGCGCCTGCAAGACTGCATGAATACTTCACGCATTGCACCAAAAACAGTGTGGTCAGCGCGGCGCAGCGGCGAAAGTTAAAAGTATTAGACCACATTTTTGTTTGTTCTTTCATAATTTATTCGTGCATTTCATATAAATGGAAGGCCTTGTCCACACAGAGATAGGTTTACGGAACTTAATTTTCGAGCAAAATTCTGTGAAATTTAGCTAGTAGTGCTGACAGGGCTTTCGCAAAAAATGTGTCCAACACGAGTAAACGCATCTTATGCAACCCTCTCCCTCCGGCACGTTCACTTGATGGTTTTTATCGACGTTTCAAAACGAATGAAAAGGGGGCGGCAAAATACAGGCGGCCCTTGAGCGGCAAGTAGGTAAATCCGGCCCTGGGGGCGAGGAGGAGAGCGTGACATTTTTTTGGGGTCATTCGTTTACTTGCAACTCGTACAGATTGCATTTAGTAATGACCACAGATTAAGCATTAAAGCATACCTGCATCGCAAATTATCCCAAATCAATCCAGTGCTGCATTCTTGGACTTCTCGACATTGACAGGAACAGCTCTTGGGGTCCCACAGTTTGGTTGCACTTTCGTTCTCGCATTTTTTCTGTTTCTCTGTGTTGGCGCACTTGCACCGACACTCGTTCTTCTCGTAGACTTGTAACGGGTTACAATCCTGAAACAAAAATTGAGAAATTTCTTATTCTCAATATGGCTAGGATAATGCGAGGAGGAAAACTAACCCGGAAGTCCAGTTTTTTATGACTGGTATTTTTATGGCAGATAATAGGTTGCCGAAGGAGAAATATTAGGCTTCTCTCAGGAGAAGACGAAGGTCTTCTTCGTCCTACCGAAGCTACACATTGCGATTATATGTCAAACTTAGGTAACCGTATTGCAGTGTTGTGTATATTGCCTAGTCTACTAATTGAAGGGGCACCTCTTATTGAAACTGTTCGCATTACAATTGAATCGGAACGTGCGAAAACCGCTAATGTCGATTTTTCCAGTCTTCGGTTTTTTTGAGTTGATAATACTTTCAAAGAGTTGATACAACCATTAAAGTGATGAAAGGACTCGTTTTGGGATCATAGTAACCCGGAGATGAGTATTAAAGCCACTTTCGTGGTTGCATCCAACTCTGAAAAGTATTATCAACTCAAAGAAGCTGAAGACTGGAAAAGTGGAAATTAGCGGTTTTTGCACGTCCAGATACAATTGACATTTGCGACGTCTTAGACTTCCTGCCATACCATAATTTTCAAATGGAAACCTATTCAGCGTCAGCGTCCATGATATTTTCTCTGTGCGAGGAAAATTCTGTGAAAACTTGAAGGAATGACGTTGTTTCGTTCTGCTTCAGAAAAACAAAATGGGAGCGGAGATTTCTAAACAACGCAAACAAGACACGGTGGCTTAGGAGTTTTATCGTCGATTTGTTGTTGCATCGCGCAAGTTGCTTTTTGATACAAGGATCCCATCTTATTGATTGTGTGAAATCGGAATTTATTGATCAAACACAGGAAAAAAACCACATTGGATTTAGAGTCCAGACTCTTAAAAACATCGACAAGAAAAAGTGCTCTTGATTCAATCAGAATCTAGCTTAAATCAAGAACCAAGCCTCTCAATTAAAGCGGATTTCGATTTGATTCAAGCGAAAATTCGATTGAATCAAGAGTATTTTTTCTTGTCAATGTTTTCAAGAGTCTGGACTCTAGATCCAATGTGTTTTTTTCCTGTGAACTGTGTAAAAATGTTGCACTCTTTAATAGGAAAAAAAAGAACGCGACTTTTTTAAACCATTAAATCGCTGCCTCATTCAAATATTTTCGCTTGAAGGGCTGTAGAATGCAAGGCTACGGCGACCAGGCGTCACGGAGCGTTGTGAACGCAGATATAACGACGTACGTCTAAGCTGAGTTTGAGTGTTTCGTAACTAAACCTATTTAGCAAAATTGATTCATCATGTGACTTACCGACGCCTTGACAGTACAGTCGCATTTGCATTTTGTATGTTTCTCCACAATAATGACTTCTTTGCCTTTGTAAACCATCTGATTGTTTCCCACGAATTGGGTCACCACAACCTGAAATTAAAGAAATTATTAATTTTCTCAGAATTTATGAATGAGGGTAGCAGGAAAAGATGTGCCTGGTTATTTTCTGAGTGCGCAAAATGTCGATTTGTCGTCTTCCTGGTCTGTTTGCTTCAATCTCAGCCGTGAAATGTTCTCTGTGAGCAGTGGAGAATACTGTCAAAGTTTATTCTTCTTCAATCCGGCCATTCTCGTAAAAAAATCGGTAGGGGTAAGACATTTCTAATCAATTGTGGTAACTCTCAAATAAATTAGGTCACTAACCCAAATTTTGCGGTATCACTCCAACTTGAGTTGCGGTATTACCACATTGATTGGAAATGTCCATATTACCATCCAACAAATCGGGATAGTTCCACAATTTTAGGAGAAACCCCCTTGCACTTTTTTTTCGTGTTTTCAGCCCTAAACATGCGATTTGAGCTTGAAATAAAATTTCTTGTAGGTTGTTCTGAAAACTGCATTTATATACTGCAAACATCAAGCCTTCAAAACTCCTGCTTGGTTTCGCATATTTGGACATCTTTTGTACATAAATGCTCGTTGTAAAATACTCCTGTAGGCAGCGATACATAAATCTCAATTTTTTCAAAAAGTTTTTCGGTCTGGAGGTCCTCCTTTCCGAAGACGATTAAAAATAAGTTCTGTCTCTTGAACTTAAATCATTAAAGGCGATAGAAATCTGATAAAATGTTAAAAAATACTTTAACAATTTTCAGAGGCGGATCCAGCAATTTGGCAACGTCGGATTGCCTCCATTTAAACCTATGCTAAATAATCGATTCACTGGAAAAAAAGCACATTGGAACTAGAGTTCAGACTCTTGAAAACATTAACAAGAAAAAATTCTCTTGATTCAATCAAATTTTTGCTTAAATCAAAAGGAAATCCGCTCAAATTAAGAGGCTTGGTTCTTGATTTAAGAAAAATCCGAGTAAATCAAGAGTATTTTTTCTTGTCGATGTTTTTAAGAGTCTGAACTCTAGATCCGATGTGTTTTTTTTTTCCAGTGTTCTTGTCAAAGCACCTGGCCCCTCCAAGAATCGATACATTTCCATATGTTTAAACGGAGAAGAGACAATGTTGCCAATTTGCTGGATCCACCAATGACATTTTTTAAACAATTTTCTCACCTGAAAACTCATTGGCTCGGTGCTGATTGGTTGGCAACTGAGGAGCTCATGAGAACAGCATCCCCCACACCTTTCAAGTCTGGTGCAGCTCGGAAAATAGAAAAGCGAAGGGTCGTCGCTCGATTTCAACTTGACCGTCTGTATTTCTGGCTGGCATAGGGCAGGCTTAGGCACCGATGCTGCCTCTGAAATAGGAAAACTTTCATTGGAGATTTCTCAACTATCTTGGTTAAATCTGGGATTTTTGTGGTATTTTCTTCAAATCACCCGGATATCCTGAACTACTTTGTCAGGCAAAATCCCTTTATGAGATTTTTTTGAGTTGCCAAATTTCTTCAATAACAGATTAAATTCTAGGAAAATTACGACTCTTTTTCCTTGTGACTATCAGGTATGCTGACATAGGGCAGGTTTAGGTACCGATGCTGCCTCTGAAATAGGAAAATTTTCATTGGAGATTTCTCAACTATCTTGGTTGAATCTGGGATATTTGCGATATTTTCTTCAAATCAGCCGGACATCCTGAACTACTCGGTCAAGCAGAAGCTTATTATGAGCTTCTCCAAGTTGCCAAAGAGCCTCCCAAAATAAGGGCTGACTTTCGCCCCTTTTTCAGTATTCGATTTGACCATCAAACCAAGGTTTAAGTGTAAGCTTATAATAACAGAAAACTCAGGAAAAAATTTCAAGATGAGTATTGGAACCGTTTTCGAGTTACGGGGAGGCAAAGGGGTCAAACTCCGGCCATATTCTTCGCTATTAACTTGGTGAATTGATGTGTCTACGGGGTTGTTATCGTTGTTTACATGTGGTATACACAACGGTTCCTACGTATTTTTACACGCAAAATCGAGTTTTAATGTTGACAAGTCGATATATCGATCGGATTTATCGATTTTTTAAGATTCATTACGGAAAATCGACGATTTTTTGAGATTGAAATTGTTCACTTTTGAATCATGGATGACTAAATGCACCTAATATGACTGTAGTACACCAATTTGTAACACCAATGTACGTAATTTTTCTTGGAGAATCGATTTTTCACGTTAACGAGTCGATGTATCAATTGCTTTTATCGCATTTTTGCGATTTTTCAGGAAAATCAATGACATATTGATTATTCTACATCCGAGAACAACCTAATTTTGGGTTTGAACACATTTCCGGTCAGGTCGATTTCCAGTTGAGTCAAGTTTTCGATTGGGGCGCATTTCCGGTCGAGTAGAAATTAAGATTTTCGATTTCCGGTGAAGTGAAATTTCAGGTGGATGACGAATCCCGTTGATTGTGGATTCCGCTCGGTGAAATTTCAAGATGCCAGTTGCGCAGCCCCCAGCTTTGGCTCCTCAGTTGCCAGGTGGGCGGCCCCCGGTTTTGGCTCCGTAGGGGTCAGGGGGCTGGCCCCCGTCTTTGGCTCCTTAGGGGTCAGGGGGCTGGCCCCCGGCTTCGGCTCCTTAGGGGTCAGGGGGCTGGCCCCCGTCTTTGGCTCCGTAGAGGTCAGGGGGCAGGCCCCCGGCTTTGGCTCCTTAGGGGTCAGGGGGCTCGCCCCCGGCTATGGCTCCTTAGGGGTCAGGGGGCTTGCCCCCGTCTTTGCCTCCGTAGGGGTCAGGGGGCTCGCCCCCGTCTTTGGCTCCGTAGGGGTCAGGGGGCTGGCCCCCGGCTTTGGCTTCTTAGGGGTCAGGGGGCTGGCCCCCGTCTTTGGCTCCGTAGGGGTCAGGGGGCTGGCCCCCGGCTTTGGCTCCGTAGGGGTCAGGGGGCTCGCCCCCGTCTTTGGCTCCGTAGGGGTCAGGGGGCTCGCCCTCGTCTTTGGCTCCGTAGGGGTCAGGGGGCTGTCCCCCGGCTTTGGCTCCTTAGGGGTCAGGGGGCTCGCCCCCGTCTATGGCTCCTTAGGGGTCAGAGGGCGGGCCTCCGTCTTTGGCTCCGTAGGGGTCAGGGGGCTCGACCCCCGCTATGGCTCCTTAGGGGTCAGGGGGCTGGCCCTCGGCTTCGGCTCCTTAGGGGTCAGGGGGCTGGCCCCCGGCTTTGGCTCCTTAGGGGTCAGGGGGCTGGCCTCCGTCTTTAGCTCCGTAGGGGTCAGGGGGCTCGACCCCCGCTATGGCTCCTTATGGGTCAGGGGCTGGCCCCCGGCTTTGGCTTCTTAGGGGTCAGGGGGCTGGCCCCCGACTTTGGCTCCTTAGGGGTCAGGGGGCTCGCCCCCGGTTTCGGTTTCTTAGGTGCCAGGCGGGCGGCCCCGAGCTTTGGCTCCTCGATTGAATATCAAATGACATTGCTGTAATTCGTTCCCCGTAGCCTGAAGTCGATGATTCGCCTTCAAATGGCCGTGTATGCAATATGACTGTCGTGAAGCACGAATAGTGGTATCAGAATTTCGCATTAAGTTTATGGATTGATTTGAAGGCGCTCTTCTGTATCCATTGTAAATGAAATCGTAAAAAATCGATTCTCCAAGAAAAATTACGTAAGTGTCGGTGTACTACAGTCATATAAGGTGCATTTTGTCATCCATGGATCAAAAATGAACAATTTCAATCTCAAAAAATCGTCAATTTTCCGTAATGAATCTTAAAAAATCGATAAATCCGATCGATATATCGACTTGTCAACATTAAAACTCGATTTTGCGTGTAAAAATACGTAGGAACTGTTGTGTATAATATGTGTAAACAACGATAACAACCCCGTAGACACATCAATTCACCAAGTTAATAGCGAAGAATATGGCCGGAGTTTGACCCCTTTGCCTCCCCGTAACTCGAAAACGGTTCCAATACTCATCTTGAAATTTTTTCCTGAGTTTTCTGTTATTATAAGCTTCCTCTTAAACCTTGGTTCGATGGTCGAATGGAATACCAAAAAAGGGGCGAAATTTTGGGAGGCTCTTTCTTCAGTAACAGATTAAATTTTAGAAAAATTACGCATATTTATACAAATATTTGGCAAAATGTTTGATAATATTATAAAAATTAGGCATAGGGCAGGTTTAGGCACCAATGCTGCTTCTGAAATAGGAAAATTTCATTGAAGGTTTCTCAACTATAATCTCGGTTAAATCTTGTGATTTTGGTGATATTTTCTTCAAATCAGCCAGATACCGTGAACTACTCTGTCAAGCAAAAACTGATCATAAGCTTTACCAAAATTTCAAATTTGTCAAATTTCTTAATACCAAATTAAGTTTTAGACAAATTATACATATTAATGATAAATATTTGGCAAAATCTTTGACAATATAATAAATTTAGACATAGGGCAGGTGGAATGGATTTATGAATGAACTTACACACAAGCGTTAAAAACGTAAAGCTAACGGAGAGATGATTAATGAAAATTCCTATTTTTTCATCTTTTGCTCTCTCAAAAGGACCGCGTTTAACAGAGAGGAACCAAGCCACATCAGCTATTGCCCAATTTCACTGGGCAATTTAATTTTTTACGAGAGAACGTTTGTGCGGATTCCTTTGAAAATTTTAAGGAATTTGGTTCGTGCTATGAAAAAAATTCACAGAAATTTGCACGAAAATCCGCACAAAAGTTTTCATGTAAAAAATCAAATCGCCCAATTAAATTTGGCTATAGCTGATGTGGCTTAGTTCCTTTCTGTTTAACGCGGTCCAAATATCGATCCTATCCTATGTCCTCTCTCTTTGGGTAGCTCAAATTAATCGCATTAAAACTTTATATTTTTAGCGATTTAAGGGGGTTGAAGCGTTAATGTAAGAGCAAAAATCACAAAGCTTAAGTGTAAAAAAAATCAATAAATGACGCCAGAAACGTTTAAGCGTGTTAAACTACAAACACTAGCGTTGTGATCCCAATTCAACAAAGTTTGAGTGTTAAGATCAACAAATGACGCCAACAAATTTTAAGCTTGTTATTCTACAAACATCAGCGTTGAATCAGCGATATCTCGATTCAAAAACTCACCAACTTCAAGTTTTTGTGCTTTGTATTGAGCGTCTATTAAATCCATCATTCATCGGAGAGAGGGCAAAAAAGAAACCAGAGAAAAAATTACATTAATTTTTTACAGATTTTTGTACCCTGCAGACAATTTCTGTTTGCAGAATTGTTTAACAAACTAGCCGAGAACATCTACCAACAACTTTAAGCAACCACAGAATTGGTTTGTTCATGGTGGACGTTGAAATTGGTGCCTATGGTTTAATTTTTTTACCCAAGTGTTTCACGGTGCTCAAAATCTACAGCCGTTCGACATGTAAAGTCTATATTTAGAGAAAAGCCTGGCTTACATTCTGAAGAAGAAAGAGGGTTGTTAAGAAGGGTCTAATTTGCTATTATGAAACATACGAATTGTCCTGAATAATACTTTATTTAAATTTTGTAAAGAGGCACTGAGATAATAAGTTACCAGAAGAAATTAAAATTTTCCCCACTCACTGAGGAAAACAAATTGACAGAAAGCATACCATATCTCTACATGATGACTAATACATTTACACGGTATCATTATGAGAAATTTATCAATCCAATTTTGTGGTTAACTTCCGTTGGATGTAGATGTTCCGTTTCAAAAGAAAAGTAATCAGTTATGAGAGAGAGACCTGGAAATTCCTCACTTGCAGCATGTAAGTTGTTTTAGTCCAAAAATCAATGCCAGAGAAACAATTGACGGATATTTGAAACTTTTATCGAGAGTTAATGCGGTAAAATTTGTAGCTCAAAAGTTTTGAGAGAGTATTTTTTTTAATCGTTGATGCATATTCTGGTCTTTGTATTCAGCATCTTACACCTAGACAAGCGTGAACAAAAACAAAAATAAAAACATGAAATTCATTTTGAATATTTTATAAGATTCATTAAATCTTTCGCAATCATCAGTGCCTGTACTGCCATGCTGAGGGAAAATGCCGTATGAGCATTCAAGAGTTGCCAAATTTCCTCCAGTAAAATGATATTTTTTCAGGAGCGTTATGAATATTTTCCTTTGCAGTTTTTGGATACTATAGATTATATTGTGATTGAAATCCTGTAATAATTGGTAGAAAAATGTACACAAGTTTTCTAGGAATTTCGTATTTTATCGAAGGAGATTTGGCAACGCTTGAAGGCTCATACGGCGTTTTTCCTTAGCAGGGCAGTGTAGGTATTCCTCTTTTTGACTATGTTATCTAATTTCCAGGTCTCTCAAGAAATTGCTGAAAAATGAAAGGAAGTCAAATGAAAAAGATGATATAAATACTAGGAATGATGGTAAACGCAACGATGTTCTAACCTCGGACTTACTTCTTTCTACATCGACTTCGTAAAGGTAACTTGCCTGCTCGATCCCACGAGTAGCTGTAAACAAAACCATTTTCAGTGGTTATTGACGATCCTTCAAGTAGATTCAACCACCACCATCGGTCCAATAAATGTCATGCAATCATGCAAATGAAAAATGTGAACAATTTCAGTTACTGAAGATTGTTTTCCTCTTTAGACTATCGAGTATTAAAGTTGGCCTATCCTATAGTTGGAAGGCGTTTCTACCTCGGTCGCGAAGCGAGATAACATTTTGAGTAGTGAGGTTGGCCTATTTTATTGTTGGAAGGCGTTTCTACCTTGATTGCGACACACCATTGCACGGTGCGGAATCTCACGGATAAAAATCGAAAATGGACTTTCAAATTATTAGAAGATTGTTATGATATTCGTGATCAGGGCAATTTTTCTGGCACGAGGCGATACTAATTTTCTTGATTTTCCTCCAATAATCCGTTTAAATATGGGTTTGAAGAGGAGGTTAATTCGATCGAAGAGGAACCGTCCCATGAGAAATTTACAGTAATTAAATTGTCAACTTTATATAAACTTTTCTCAATAACTAGGGATATCCTCTGGGCTGTTAACATTCTCCCATTCTTTGGACACTCAACTTCAATCCTGAAACAGAACTTCTGTGACTTTTTGCGACTATCGGAGACATTTGCATTTAAAAATCGGTTAAAATCAGGTTAACTTCAGCATTTTTAGTCGCAATATTGAGTGTCATAACTTCTAAATACGTGCACTTAGCGCATAACCACTTTTGACTTATTGTATCACCTCTCTGATGCTGGGAAAGTCAAAATTCTTTAAACAAAAGTTCAGTGGGGCTCAATTGAATATCTCATGCCTTTTTTGGATCCTTATGTCTATTTTCATGGTGCCTTAGATTTTTGTCTACACCGCTCATGGAAATTCCGCACTGTGTATCGGTTCAATAAGAGCCATTCTATCATGCAAATAAAAAATGTGAACGATTTCAGTCACTGAAACATTGCGTTTTCCTCCTTGGGCTACCGAGTAGTAAAGTTGGCCTATCCTACGGTTGGAAGGCGTTTCTACATTCATTGCGGCAGAAGAGAAGCAAGCATGATGCACGCAGGCGCTTGAAAAGACTCGATTTTTACTTTCCGACTTTTCTCGTTCTTAATTGAATCTCTCAGTTCATAAACAACCCATCTCGGAAAAATGGCATTTTTAGCTAGACGATAAAAGCTGCGTAACAGCCGAAAAAGTAGTGTTTCGACGCAAAAAAACGAACTTTGAAAAACATCCAAGTTGGGTCGTTTTCGAACTGATAGATTCAATTATTATTGAATTCCGGTCGATTGATAAAATAGACTTAAATACAGCTAAAATCAGCCCAGAAAAATATCTGACTGCTCTTTAGAATGAATCGGTGACCAAATCAAAAAATATAACGCGAATTTTTTGTCGTAAACAATCCACTTGAACGCGAAGCTTCACTGAGTCATTCCGAACGTTGAGTGGTGCTGCCTATTCCTTGCGGAAGAGATAACAATGTGGAAGTTATTTAAGATTCTGTGAAAGTGCCCATTTCCGTTCAATTTAATTTTTTCTGATTTTAAAACAAAATCGTCCTCTTTCTCCACAAAATCAAACTGCATTGCGCGTATAATTACGCCTGAAAATACTCGAATGGACTCGAATATTTTTTAACTCGAACCTACATAAATTTGTGAAGAGGAGTTCACTGTTGGGTCAATCTCCTATCCAGAGAGGTAATAAAAATCGGGATTAATGTACCGGGATGGGCAAAAGAGACGTTCGATACGCCATAACTTGATATGTACAATAAATAAGGGTCCCACCCTGGTAAAAATTGGCGATAGGAGCTGCGTTTCAAAATACCATAGGAGTTCTTTTAGCCGACTGAAGAAGGCGATAGAAAATCATATAGCTGGCTGTAGAAAGTGGACAAAATTATACGGCCGGGCTACACGAAGCGATAAAAAATTAAACAGCCGGGCTATAGCGCCTGTCGCCGGGCTTTACACTTTATCGCCTGGCTGTTGCTTTTTCGCCATCGGCTATAATAGGCTATAAGAAATTGTGTAGAAATGCGTGTGCTTTGTAAATCCGCAAGTTTGTACGGAATCACCATAATATTTACAAAACGCACATTATATTTTCCTTTACTACATATTTGTTTGCATCAACTGAAATGAGAATAATCCATACAGGATGTGCAAACATTTCAAAGTCATGAGTTGAACAACGCTGACTCCACAAGATTAAATATTAGAGCCTAACACAAAGCGGAACGGCGGCGCACTGGTGCCTACAAACCTAACAGGGATACTTCACGCGCTGCGCAAGCGTGAAGTATCCCTGTTAGGTTTGTAGGCGCCAATGGGCGTTTCGCGCTGGCTGCCCGCCCGCCGCGCTGCGCCGCAGCGTACCACGGCGCTTGAAGCAACTATTTCACACCAGAGGTATTGCACAGTATCGTACGAAATTGAAGGCGCTCCAACATATTAGGAATGGCAGGCATCCTTCAAAAGTACGGAACTTCCCTCGCAAAATAAATCAAGATACTACGGCCCAAAAAGAGAGCGGTAGTCTAAAAACTCACTAAGTCCTAGCACCCGTAATTAGTAACGGATAGCATACACTTTATCGTCAGGCTGTTGCTTAATCGCCATCGGCTATAAAAGGCTATAAGAAATTGTGTAGCCGGCTATAGAAGCTATTGGAAATCTTACAGTCGGCTGTAGGTCTATGGTATTTTGGAACACAGATCCTACTGCCAATTTTTACCAGGGCATTTAAAAACGTTGATATTTGGGGGGAGGTCAGGTGGTCGTAACCATGCAAAGAACATTTTCCCCTCGATGATTAGGACAATAGTCCCAATCAAAAGTTATGGCGTATCTAGCGGTTCTTTTGCCAATCCCGGTATCTCAGAAAACAACTTTCCCTATAGTTGTTTCTAGTCACGTTTTGGAAAATACTACATGCCTCAAGAAAGCTGTAATTTTGCCCATTATTTTAGCCGTATGGCAACAATATTTTTATCGCCGTGAATTTTTCTTACCCCTTATCGTTCAGAAAAATCACATAGTTACTAGGAAAAAAGTTCGTCGTTACAATTAAAATTGCTTAACGTTGCAAGAATTTATTATTTCCTCAATCAGAAACTGTTTGAAGAGATTTCTTGTGAAGCTCACCTAATTTTTCCAAGTGAGGACATTCGTGAGTGATCAGTACATCGTTTGTTGTACATTGAACATTGTAAAAAAAAAAGAGAAAAAAACGATGTGTTCTTCTAATTTAATTTACTGACAAAAAATGTTTATAATCACGTGTCGACTCATTATTATAATCCTTTGTTGCCAGTATAATTTAACAGTAAAACATATTTTTTTTCGAATTTTCCATCAAGAAAGTAACAGAGCGTCAGCAATGACTGATTTACATTCGACCTAAGAATTTCGCTCATGATGATACTAGCTTGTATTTTCCGATCGAAAGGGAAATGCTTTGCGGTGCTGATAAAAACCTCCCGTCATTCGATGGCTTTTGTGGATTCTGATTCTTGAAAAAAAAATTCCACGGAAAGAGAAAATCGTGCTGCCAAGAGTCGACGTGCTCCACCAGGATTCTACTATCTCGCCAAGTATATATTTCCGCGTTTGGCGAATAGCACGGAGGTATTTTCGCAAAGACGCATTCAGAACCGTTCGGCTCCGCGTCTCCTCTCGAGAATTTCAGATAAATTTAAGTTGTTTACATTGAAACGCCCGCTTACGACTGGCTCATTCAGAAACAGTCGTAAAACTATGTACGTGTTGCAGAGGTCGTGGTATACGGAATGCTCGTTTTCGGCGATGGTTGAATTTTGCGCGTTAACTCTGCGCAAATAAATACATTGACGTTGAAAAGAGAGTATTGGAACAGATTTTGCAGTCTGCATCAAAAATTGAATATTTTTCAGGAGCATATACACCAAGAGGTCGTAAAAAGTTATGTATGGATGTTTTGCTACTTTTAGACGAGGAAGGATGGATTGCATTTTGCAATGAAGAACCAAGAGCATTCCAACGTCGCGTCGCTAAGATCTTCTTTTACCTTGCAATTATAAACTGACCATCTAAACAAGTCTTACACGGAGAAAAACACCTCGTGCTTGGGACCCGAAGTTTAGGTCTTATAGATTTCTGAAGTTTTCGGATTGATCATCTGAACATTTTAGGTCTAGCTGCCGAGGTTCGGATCACACATCTGAAACTTCAGTTCTTACATCTGAAGTACTTCAGATGTGAAAACCGAAATTTTTCGGATGTGAGAACCGAAGTTTTTCGGATGTAAAAACCGAAGTACTTCAGATGTAAGAACTGAAGTTTCAGATGTGTGATCCAAACCTCAGCAGCTGGACCTAAAGTGTTCAGATGCTCAATCCGAAAACTTCAGACATCCGTATGACCTAAACTTCGGGTCCCACGCACGAAGTTTTTTTTCTCCGTGTATCTTTACTCTTAATAAACTAAAAATTCAAGAGGAAAATTACCTTTGTAAATTTATTTTTTTTGTATGATTTCAGTAAACTCATTGCAAATGATGTAAGAATGCAGTTAAAGAGCAACTTTCTGATGAAGAGCAAACTTTTCCACCCAGTTTTCAATTTGATCCAGATTCCATCTTATACAGTCTTTTCCAAGAACAGAATCTCAGGTTGTTTATGAGACTTGTTACTTTAAAAAATCTATTTTCGTCTGTTTACTTTCGTGATCAATTACAGTCCAATCAACGTGAGTTGCATAGCATACATCAGTAAGCTTTTTAAGTGCGCTCGAAAATCTATACGCATTAATAGGCACGATCGAATTTCCTGAGAATCGGATCATTAATTGGGGCAATCCATTTACGAATGCCCGTCAATCGATCGGGAACTCTCCTAAATTAACACCGACGGTAGATTTGAATCCATTAAGGATTAAACGGATACCTACATCAACACGCTGTAATCCACGATGTCTCGCTTTTAACGGCTTCAAAATATTTATTATTGCCCAATTAAACCCCGACCACTTGATGATTATGTCATCTTGTTTCCACGGGTACCATTTATTGTCAGTTTTGAATTGATACGCGATCACAGTTTTCCCGCATGTGTATCGAACGAAACAAACGCTTGACTTCGAGTGCTCATACATATATGATTAAACTTCACTGCAATTAGGAACTAAAATTTCTGGCTTATTTTTGAAACAACGCATTGACTATTAGTATCCTAATGCACATACGTGGTTTTACGGATGAGCCAAAAATTGTAGTTCCTAATTGCAAAATGTAATCCGAGTCATGTGATGTTTTGCTCTTAGTTATACGCGAGTTGGAAAGCCTCGATTATTTACATGTTTTCTTTTTAATAACAAAGTTGAGGTATCGATACTGCAGAAAAAATCGCATTTTTTTCACGACTGTGACACATTTTGGGAGCAACAACACATTTTACTAAAAGACAAAACAGTCCAAGAATCTTTCCTGTATGTTTATACGAGCCTCCTTACCAACCTGCCTATAAGATCATTTAGGACTATCTGTTAATCGTGGTCAGGGGACTCAGCAGGAAAAGGCTTTCGACATATTAAAGGCCATTCTCGGGGTCAATACTATTTTTTGCCTGATATTTATTAGTGAGCGAAATTTTGAGCATCAGTTGCCGGTGATGCGCTGTAATTAGCTGTAGAAGAGATTAATTACAAACGCACACGACGTTACACATCATGCAAATTCTGCCTCGAAATTCTGACCCAGTCTTTCCGAGAGCATCAGAAAGTGTCGAGCATTGAAAACTGAAAATCTATATTTTTGACCCCAGATCGAGTTTCCTTTTCGCCTGACTCCATCAAATTTTTTTCGTAGTAGCATGCATGTTTCGCTCGCGTCAATTGGACGTATTTCTGCCGAACGGAACTATGTGCATCATGACGTGAGCCCTGTTACGCATATATTCCTATGGGTCTCAGGGCTCACGTCTCAATGCACATAGTTCCGTTTGGCAGAAATACGTTCAATTATCAAGTACTCCGCACTTTTAGAGCCAGAGTGAATCCAATCTTCGAAATCCTGGGAACTACCTCCAGGCCCGTGACACAAATGGTGATAAATTTGCGAAGTTTTCAGAAAGCAGAGGTCGTAACAATGTCGCTTGCAGGTGATCGGTATGGTACAACGTCATGTCCTCGCTCCATGCGTGATCTAATAACGGCCACACGAACAGCTTTTGCGGCTGAGTGACCTTGCAATAACACATGCAAAAGTGTGTGTCATCAAGTGTTAGAAACGGGGCTTTTAGGATGAGTAAGCTTGAAAGCTCTTTTTCCGGAAAAGTATGGATTTTAAAATTGAAAATATCCTCCTCGCCGGGTATACCGAGTATGCCGCTTAAACCGCGTATACCACGTATGCCGCGTATACCACGTAAAATTCTTAGGAAAATGCGTCGTTTCCTCACCGTAAATCGCATACCGACGGTGAAATTAACAGATCATCTTAAATCTCGTGTGCAGCGTTTAAACATTCCCCAACTAGTTAGTTAACTAATTTTTAAAAAATCAATGTTGGGTAATTTTTCATTAAAAAAATGAAGTGACAGAAAAACTGCAACGTCGCAAATCGAAATACGCTGTTTAGGTGTTTCACCATCGGTGTGTCCCTTCGTTCTCAGATGCAAGCTTTGGCGATGGGGCCACAATCCAGGGTGCTTGAAATAAAGGAAATAAATAAATAAAGGGGGTGGCCACATGGGCCGCGGCCCATGGCGGCAAATTTTGCAATATTTTAAATGTAGGTGTAAAGAAAAATCGGATTCAGAAAAAAAAAATTACTTTCGAGAAAAGGTGACAAAATCTCTCATTTTCTGCGAGTGTATCTCTAATTTTGTCGTCTTTCTGTGATGCAGTAGACAGCACCTTTAATTAGTTGAGTTAAGACTAATTGTAACTTGTAAGAGAGAAACCGAACACGGAATTTGGCCTGGAACGGCGCGGCGCAGATACATGCTGATGATGACGAGAACTTGAGATGAAAAGGTGAAACCCTCGGCGCGGCGCGGTGGTCGGCATGTAACACATATTAGCGCCTACAAGACTGCATGGATACTTCACGCATTGCGCCAAAGACAGTGCGGTTAGCAGCGGGCGGCGTGAGACACATATCGCCTACAAGACTGCATGAATACTTCACGCATTGCGTCCAAACACAGTGCGTGCAGCAGCAGTCGGCATGAAACGCATATCGCATACAAGACTATAGGAATACATCACGCGTTGCGCCAAACACAATGCGGTCAGTGCGGCGCGGCGGCGGAAGTTAAAATTATTAAACCACATGTATGTTTGTTCTTTCATAATTTCCTCGTGCATTTCAAATAAATATAAGGCCTTCTCCACACAGAGATGAAATATTGGAAATTTCAAGAGGCTGAATATTTAACAGTTTTCAGGGGCTAGAGTATGCAACCCGCATTCAAATACACAAAAATAGAGAAGTCACGATATTTTCATTTTGCAAAACATGAAAAGGAGCCGGTATTTTTCAATTCCTCTCATAAATTTCTGAAATTTCATCAAGTATTTCATTTGGAATCTCAAGATTTTATTTTTTCATGTTTTGCTACCCTGCACTGAAATAAAATTCTCGGCGTTTTTACCACGGTCCGTTGGTACCTTTACCATCTCACTTTTTTTTTACCAATTATGGGTAATTTTACAAAGACAGACTGGTAAGCTTACCTAAAAACCGGTATTTTTGCTGGTTTTTTTTTTAGGTAAGAATACCACTTTTATTGGTAATCAATTCCCGGTAACTTTGCCATTTTATCTCGGTAATTCTACCACAGCCGATAAAAAATATTGACGTTTTTACCAAAGTCCAGTAAAATTACCGAGAAAGTTCAATAATTTTACCGAGATTTCTCGGTGAAATTACCAATTCCATAAATGGTAATTTTACCAAGAAAAAACTGGGATCAAATAGAACCCTGAATTCTTGGTAATTTTACCCTTTTCTTAGTAAATACACCGAGATTTTTTTTTCAGTGTGCAGGAGTGCTCTAGTCCTCCCGGTCCTCCCGTCTAGTTTTCCCGGAGTCTGGCACATTTCGTAACAGGCTATTTATTTACCGTTTACCCAAAATTTTAAGATCTCCATTTAAAACGAAAACATATGAACTGAAACTCACCTAAAGCCGCGTGCGTTTCCTCCGCAGCTGGACCAAGTCTGGAGCCCAAGAGGACAGGCGGTTGCTGGATGAATTCCTCGAACAATTGGCTCGTGTTCGTGATGGAGTTCAAACGCATGATCATACTCAGCGGAATCTGCGAACAATCAGAGAATTATGGATCTTAGGGCGGCATATGTAAGGTGTGCATGTCTGCCGTGAAGAGGAAGAACGCCGTATGAGCATGCAATTGTTGCCAAATTTTCTCTCAGAAAGTATCTATTTTTGAAGAAAATTATGAATATTTGGACTGAGTTAAGCAGAAAGGAACACACTTTGGAAAAAATTGAGTTATGAGTAGTTTTGAACTCAACCACTTCTCTACTATCTATCGCCAAAAATTCAAAGTTTTTGTTGGAGCGAATTTTGCAGAAATTGAACTTGAAGTTTATTTTTTACATTGAGTCTTATGCAGGAGCCAAATTTTAAACCTCTTTTTCTCGGTTCGATCCCGATGTGGCTTGGTTCCTTTCTGCTTAACTCCGTCCATTTTTCCTTAAAATTTTCAGACTTTTTAGATCAAATTTCGAACAAAATCCTCCGAAAATTGTAAGAGAAATATTTGTAATTTTCCTAAAAATTCGTTGTTTTTCCAAGGAAATTTGGCAACGCCTGATGGTTCATACGGCGTTTTTCCTTAGCACGGTAGATTTATTCAGGGGAAAACAATGTTTGACATGACATCGTTCAAATTCCTCATCATGCGAACAATCGAGGCTCGTGGTTTGAATGCTTGTTGCATTGTGGTCCGCCTATTTCCCGAATACATTAGTCTATTCATTGTGATTCTCTTGTACTCCTCTGCTCCGGTTGAAAACATAAAATGAGAAACAGTACGCAACTCGCATATTTTTCAAATGTTTCGCTGAGACAAAGAGAGATACACAGAGGCGGATCCAGCAATTTGGCAACACCAGGGTGGCATGAAACGCAAGAAAGAAATGAAAGATTTGAAATTTCAGTGATATATTTCATGAAATTTCACGAGACTGTGAACTGTGAAGTACCTCATATTTTTCAGGGGCTAGAGTATGCAACTCGCACTCATAGACACACAAATAGAAGAAATTCACGATTTTTACATTTTGCGAAACATGAAAAGGAACCGGTATTTTTAATTATCTTTCATAAATTTCTGAAATTTTATGAAATAATCCACGTGAAATATCAAGATTTTATTTTTCATGAAATTTTGCCATCCCGGCAGGGTTGCAATTTTTCATGAATAAAAATATTGAAATTTCATTTGAAATATTTCATGAAATTTAAGAAAAACATGAAACATATTGGAGAATATTTTGCGAGATTAAATGAAAGGCAACTGGTTTTTGCTTCTATGTGTTAGGCGTGGTGGTGGCGTGTTGCATACCCAGCCCTTGTAAATATGTTTCATTATTTCACAACTTCGTGAAATTTTATGAAATATTTTACGGAAATTTTCAATATTTCATAATTTTCATTTCATCCGCGTGCAACCTTGAAACCTTGTATTCCTCCCAGGGAACTTCAGTTATCTGATCTGGAGTGCGGTCCTGAAGACTGAAAACCTCTGTTAAACTGGACCATGACTTCAGTGTTCCATTTTCATATGAACTGAGAGTCCTTGTAACCGAAGTTTTCAGTTTCTTTCTTCGTGATACGATATTTCCTGGCTGCGCGACTTCACTTTTTCCGTATCCATATTCCTAAGGCGGATTTGAAGTCTGGGCAGAAGAGCAAGTTCGCGACGGCGGTGTTATGGTTTGGCCAGGCGCGGTACGGACAGAAATTATAAACATGGAAGATGAATGGCAGGGGCCGTCGGAAGGCCAGAAGCTTTCCGCGCCAATGCTCGTCATTCAGTGGATCTCGCTCGTAAATCTTCTAGCACCACGCGCCGCCGTCGAAAATTTATCACCGCCGGCAATGAATTCTGCCGTGCTATGGAAAAACGCCGTATGAACATCCGAGAGTTGCCAAATTTCCCCTCTTAAAATATTAGTTTTTGAGACAAATCATGCATATTCCTACTTGCAGAGTTGCCACCGTCAGGGATTACTGAGCAAACCGGGACATGTCAGGGAAGTTTAAAAAGTCAGGGAAAATCTGTAAATGTCAGGGAAAATTTCGAAGTCAACCTTATTTGCTACCTAGAATGGGTTTGACGTTTCAAACAACACATTTTGCCTGAAAACTATTTCTTATGATGTCCTAAGAACCAGCTGGCATATCTTCTACTGGCAGGGAATTTGACCAAAATGTGCCAGGGAATCAGGGAAATGTCAGGGAATTTCGGTTTTAAATTTTGTGGCAACCCTGATGAAATTTTCCGATACTGAACATTTTCACAAGTTTTCCTGAAAATTCGTAGTTTACCGACAGAAATTTGGCAACACACAAAGGTTCATACGGTGTTCTTCCACGGCACGGCAGAATTGCACGTCATTAAACAGAATGGATCTATTTACGAAGGGGATTTTAAAAAAACAACGTACAGTCTCATGAAGTAATTCAGTAGATACGCACTTTGGTTAATGACATCCACTGATTACTGCTCCTGTCATCTCGGATCAGAAAAGAGGCCCGCTGGGCGGGGAGCATCACGATTCTTTGAGGGATTTCGATCGGACGTCAACAAGCTCAAAAAGTTGTAAAACAACATATAATCATGTTTTCCCTAACTGATAGCGGACGTTTTTTGCATTCAACTCACTGATGGACCGCGTTAAGCAGAAAAGAACAAAGCTACATCATCTATTGTCAAATTTAATTGGGCAATCCAATTTTCTACATAAAAACGATTGTGCGGTTTGTGCGAATTTCAGTGAATTTTCTGCATAATAAGGAAACTAATGGTACGTACGTTGTTTCTAAACCGAGACAGAAATTGTAGTTACTATTTGCAAATTGTAATCGTCGAAAAAAGAACGGCGCGTTGTTCTCCACTGAACAGTTCTCAACGTGGCCTGTTTTATTCTGAGTTTGAGAAAAGTCGTCTTCTTTTACGCATTCTGTGCCATGAGGGAAGAAGACTTCAAACTTCTTTTTCTCGATTAGATCTTGTTATGACTCGGCTCATCTCTCTTAAACTCAATATAGATACATTAAGTAAACATATTTCGTTATCACAATCGAAACAAATGAAGGCGCTGTGGGTTTTTTAACGGCAACCTTTGCATGCAACTATTCGTGCTTAAAGGATGTCCGTGTTGCATACACAAAAAATTGCAGGCGCTCTTGTTTTCTAAATCACGATGCCTTTCTCTCTCTACGTATTCGTTTTCAAGGGATGTTTTCAGGTTCAAGGGATGTTTTACTGCTGTTATGCCTTCACTACTTTTTCTTAACGCTTGCTTTTTATACAAAAACGACTCATTTACCTGAATATACGTCGGTTAATTAGAATAGTTAAATTTTGAGGGAAACTTAATTTCCAAAATTTGAGTGTCACAAAACGGTAGAGCAATATTTATTCTACCGTGCCAAGGAAAAACGCCGTATGCGGCATTAGTCGTTGATAAATTTCTCTTGATAAAATACGATCTCTCTCGAGAACTTATAGAACCTACGACTATTTTCTTCCAAATTTTTAGAGAATATTGTTTACAATTTAAACTAAAGTATTTGAAAATTTCAGAGAAAAGTATTCACAACTTCCTTCAGAAATATGTACTATATCGGTGGCATTCTGTCGTTTTCCCCACGAAGGAACGTAACTCCATACCGAGGTACAAAATTGACTCAAAAAATTTAATTTTTCACAAAAATGTACCAGCACAATTTTTTTTTTTCCAAAGTTTTTCTGATTTTTGCACGAGGTCAGGTGAAAAATCAGTAAAATTTTCAAATAGAAATTTTCAAGATTCTCAAGGCAACGCTGCAATTTGCTAGGGGAAATTCGGTGACATTGAAATGTAGTCGATTTTGGTCTGAAAACTACCCCTTCCTAGCTTATCATGATATCGATTTCGGTAGGGGCGGCGAATTTTTCCCCCCGGGGACGCTCGCGCAGCGGTCACCGCTCACGGAAGTGTGTCGATGAGTGATGAGCGGTGAGTCACGACCGAAAGCGTGCTGCGGCGGTGGCAGCGACAACCTTCCAGCCCGAGCTTAAGTTTCTCCGCGGCTAATGTCAATGAGCAATGAGCCGGCGAGCCTGCATAATAATAAAAAAAAAAGAATAAAAGAATTCCCGAGACCTGATTGAGATTCTCAATGTTTGCCTTTCCGTGTCGCCGTCTCCGTCAGAGCCGTGACCGCCATGACGACGACGAGACGCTATTGCGTCGGTGTCGGATCCGCCCGTGTGAGCTTCAAGTGCGTGATGCTACGGCGATGAAGTATTCGGTTACAGCTACAGAATATTCCGTTTCGGGACGAATTCGATGGAGTCGGGCTACTGATTTTCCCTGCTTGTTAGAATCAGAGTATAGTACACTGGAAAAAAAACACATTGGATCTAGAGTCCAAACTCTTAAAAACATCGACAAGAAAAAGTACTCTTGATTCAATCAGAATCTAGCTTATATCAAGAACCAAGCCTCTTAATTTAAGCGGATTTCATTTTGATTCAAGCAAAAATCCGATTGAATCAAGAGTATTTTTTCTTGTCGATGTTTTTAAGAGTCTGGACCCTAGAATATAGAGTCTAGATCCGATGTGTTTTTTTTTTCCAGTGAATGCGATATGGAGCCGGGCTACTGATTTTCCCTGCTTGTTAGAATCGGAGTATAGTACATACAGATTCGGTGGGCATGGATTCCGTATATAGAAATAAAAACGTGAACCGATCGACGTGATTCAATCGACACCGATTCAAGCGACAAAATTCGATCGATTTACGGGGTTTGTCAATAGATTTAGGGGCATTGTCGATCGATTTACGAGTTTTGTCGATCTTTTCATGACTATTGTCGATCGATTCGCAGCTTTGACGATTTTGTCGATCAATTCACGAGTTTTCCGGTCGAATCATGGGCTTTTCGATCGATTAATGTTTTTCTTGATCGATTGAAATCGATATGGATCGTAATCATTTTCACCTAATTTTTTTTCTTTTTCGAAAAAAGTCCGTTTCTAGAGCTTTTGTTTGCGAAGCTGAATCGATATAATATCCAT